ACTTCTAGTTCACAAGGATGGAAATGATAGCTTGGATAATTAAAGTTATTAAATGATTCTGATGATAGTTATGATATACTTTTAATTTTAACTCTAGGAATTTAGATGATTTTTTTTTTTAAGTTTAATTATCAACTGTTAAACACCACACTCTTAGTCACGCATAACCATTCTTACTAGGCATTTAGGCATCTTATTAAATGTTATAATGATAAAGAAAAGTTTCATTTTATAACTATTCATATTATCATTTTAATAATATGTTTAAAGTACAAAATTATTACAAAATAAAGTAACACATTTCATCTTATCATATGTCATATCAGCAGCTCAAGGACTACAGAATGGAAATATTCAATATATATATACATTTTTATATTCATTAATATTGAAACATCTTAAACTTTAACATTTGTTATTAAAAATCTGAAAATCTTATATGATGTATTATCAAATTAGATATGAAAAGCTTTCAGCTTAGATAGAACACCACCTTAGATAGAAGGGAATTAACCACAGGTAAAAACAAAGGTAAATACATGTACAAGTAAATACTGCCTATACTACTAGGTGCACTTTACCAATATATTTGTAATTTTGGACTACAGTTTTATTTGTCCACATCTATCAATATTAATTATATAAAACATCTTTGTAAAATAAGACTATCGGCAAACAAATTAAATATTGAATGTGGCAGGTATAACAATATCGAAAGAGGAAACAGATTGTGTACATTATGTAATATGAATGAGGTAGAAGATGAATTTCATTTCATTTTGAAATGTCCTTGTTATGCTGATATAAGCGCTAAATTCATCAAAAAATAATATGTAAACCGTACTAGCATGTTTAAATTTATCCAACTGCTAAACAGTAATAGTTTATCAGAAATCTTGCCTGTGAATTAAAAGGTATCCTAATTACCTGTTGTTTTTACCACTTAATACTGTAGCCAAAGGGCATTTACAATACCTACCTGTGACAGGCAAAGGGAATTTACAGTAACTAACAGATGAACTAATTACCCAGAGGCAACTAACACATACTGGTAGTATGGTGTACCGGTGCATTTCATTTTGTTCCCAGCGTTGGAAGAAAAAAGGTTTATTTATGAAATTTCTTAATTATTAAGTTTAATTAGGTCACCTGAGATTTCTCAGGTAACCTATTGCGATCGCCTTTTGTCCGTCGTCGTGCGTCCGTAAACAATTTACATTTTCAACTTCTCCTCCAAAATCCCTGAACCAATTTTAATGAAATTTTGCAGAAACCTTCCATGGCCAAAGGTCAACCAAAATTGTGAATTATATGGTCCCCACCCCCCAGATGCCCGAGGGGCGGGGTAAAAAAGGGTCAAATTGACTAAAATTTCAAAAATCTTCTTCTCAAGATCCAGATATGGTAGAATCAAATATTCTTCATAGATGGAAGGGTGCTCTACTAAAATAGTGAATTTCATTACCCTGGGGTCTCACGTTTCCCCCTTGGGAGGGGGTAAACTTTACTACAGTTTATATAGGGAAATCACATTTTTGACCAGCATTTGTTTAATTTCCATTGGAATCAATTCAAACTAAGTTAGCATTATCAGCATAACCCCAGGGGCCAAAAAGGGTTGAATTGACTGAAATTTCAAAAATCTTCATCTCAAGACCAAGATATGGTAGAATCAAATACGGTACTCTTCATAGATGGAAGGGTATTAGGATGTTTTACCAAAAGTGTGAATTTCATGACCCTGGGGTCGCATGTTTCCCTCTAGGGAGGGGGTAAACTTTACTATCGTTTATATAGGGAAATCACATTTTTGAGTTTCATTTGTTTAATTGACATAAGAAATAATCTAAACTTGGTTAGAATTATCGGTACTGGATGGCAATTTGATGGTATGCACATACAGTTATTGGCCCTTGCTGACCCTAAGGGGCTGATGGGCGGAACAAAAATTGTCAAATTCACTGAAATTTCAAAAAGTATCTTCTCAGTTTCCAGAAAGGGTAGAAATACATACCCTTCATCGATAAAAGGGTCTTCAGGTGGTTTATCAAAAGTATGAATTACGTTATCACATGGCTTCCTGTTCCTCCATGGGAGGGGGTGAAATTAATTACTTAAGTTTATATAGGAAAACTGGGCTTCCCCAAGGGGGTGATGAGCAGGGTCAACAGGGATATGTTAAATTATATAGTCTGAAATTTCTAAAGTCTTCTTATATGACTCCAATATGCTAGAAAAAATATTCTTCTTAGTGGAAAGGATCTTAAAATGTACTTTATCAATATTGTGAAATTTAATACCCAATGGGCTGAGTTTGAGCTCTACCTTCCCCCTGGGAAGGAGTTGCTTGGAATTAAAACTCTTATGATATGAGAGTTGTAGTTGTAAAATTCTCTAACATTTAACAACATTTTTAGCTCACCTGGCCCGAGGGGACAAGTGAGCTTATGCCGTGGTGCAGCGTCCGTCGTCCGTCCATCCGTCGTCCGGCATCAATATTTTACTTTAAACAACTTCTTCTTAATAACCAAGAGGCCTAGGGTGATGATATTTGGCCAGTAGCATGCTGGGATGAAGGGGTAACAAGATTGTTCAAATAAATGACCTTCACATATTTTGAAGGTCACAGGAGTCAAATATGTTTGAAACCTTTAAACAACTTCTTTTGAATAACCAAGAGGCCTAGGATAATGATATGTGGTCAGTAAGTTGCTGTGCTGAAGGGCTACCAAGTTTGTTCAAATGAATGACCTCCATCTATTTTCAAGGTCACATGTGTCAAATATGTTTAAAACCTTTTAACAACTTCTCATGAACAACCGAGAGGCCTAGGAGAATGATATTTGGCCAGTAACATGCTGGGGTGAAGGGTTACCTAGTTTGTTCAAATGAATGACCTTGACTAATATTCAAGGTAACAGGGGTCAAATATGTTTAAAACCTTTAAACAACTTCTGCTGAATACCCAAAAAGCTTAGGTTGATGCTGGTTGGCCAGTAGCATGATGTGATGAAGGGCTACCAAGTTTGTTCAAATGAATGACCTTGACAAATATTCAAGGTCACAGAGGTCAAATATGATTAAAACCTTTAAACAACTTCTTTTGAATAACAAAGAGGCCTAGGATAATGATATTTGGTCAGTAATTTGCTGAGCTGAAGGGCTACCAAGTTTGTTCAAATGAATGACCTTGACAAATATTCAAGGTCACAGGGGTCAAATATGTTTAAAATCTTTAAACAACATCTTCTGAATAACCAAAATGTCCAGGGTGATGATATTTACCAGTAGCATGCTTGGATGAAGGGCTACCAAGTTTGTCCAAATGAAGGACCTGTATCTATTTTCAAGGTCACAGGGGTAAAATATGTTTAAAAAACTTTAAACAACTTCTTCTGAATAACCAAGAAGCCTAGGATAATGATATTTGGCCAGTAACATATTGGGATGAAGAGCTACCAAGTTTGTTCAAATGAATGACCTTTACTTATAATCAAGGTCAAAGGGTTTAAATATGTTTAAAACCTTTAAACAACTTTCTGAATAACCAAAAGACCTAGCATAATGATATTTGGCCAGTAACATGCTGGAATGAAGTACTACCAAGTTTATTCAAAATAATGACATTGACATATATTCAAGGTCACAAGGGTAAAATATGTTTAAAACCTTTGAACGTCTTCTTCTCAATAAGCAAAATGCAAAGGGTGATGCTATTTGGCCATTAACATGCTGGAATGAAGGACTACCAAGTTTGTTCAAATGAATGACCTTCCCCCATTTTCAAGGTCACAGTGGTCAATATATGTTTAAAACTTTAAATGACTTCTGCTTTATAACCAAAAGGTCCAGGGTAATGATATTTTGCCAGCATCATTCTGGGTTGGAGGACTATAAACTCTGTTCGACCTAAAGTCCTTGTTCGACATTCAAGGTCACAGGCGTCATATTTTTAAATCTNAATATATATCTTTTGCCTTAGTTTTCAGTACTTTCAGTACTTTGATTAAGATTACAAGTGTGAGATTAATACCAGGTGAGCGATTCAGGCCCATTGGGCCTCTTGTTATATAACCAACACATGTCGTGTGTGTTCATATGTTCATGTAAGTAGATTGTGTCATTGTCAGTTTGTGTCCAGGGACTAAATATCTTTCCGTTTTGTTTGGGTTCTTCGGTTCCTGTTGTTGTTCTTTTTATATCGACTCATCTCCTTATCTATTGACCCATGCTCGTTTTACAATGTCACTTTCCCTTTTACACTGACCCACGCAAACACCCCCCATTAAAAGCAGGAGGATAAACCGTATGCGTTCCTACACCACAAGTAGCAGGCTTCATGATGTATCCCGTCACGATATATGGCAACCTTCATGATGTCTCCCGTCTAATACATGAACGTCTACAGGTCAGTAACGTTCTAAGACATCGTCAACATTTGTTAAACTAGCTAGCAGAAATGATTTTCTTTGAAAAGCATTATTATTATTATAAATCCTTATGTAAAAAATCATCATAGAAAAATAAACATAACGTGCCAATTTCGTATGGTATCAGTAACGTAGTACTCAGTAGTGTCTTATAAATGTTATCGAAAACAACTTCATGTACAACAATATATAAAGAATGTAACGTCCATTAAGGAATGTCGTAAAATATTACACATTAATTGCTTCCTTTCTTCCTCCGAAGTGATAATTTATTAAAAAATATCTTTTCTCGTAAATGGTAAAGCACTTCGAATGTTTTATATTTGTAATCACAAACTTTCTTACAATGTATTTGTCCAAATTTAATGAAAACAGGATCGTTTCTGACACTTCGTTGTAGCGATAAGATGCCTTAAATGACCTTTCAAACCCAAATGTTTGATTTAGAATTATTTATGAAGCAATCCCCAAGTAATGTTGTTTAGCACTATGATTTCGCGGGGGTCAAGTCCTCCTAAAGTTAGTCCGTGAATAATAATTTTCACGCTTTTACACACTTAACTAACTATGCATAAGAAAGCTTATATTTTTCGTGTGCAAATGAGGCAAAAATATGTATCCTCGAAATACAGGCGTTATACAGTAACTAAATTGGTTCTAAAAGTGTTCGGTTGGATTTGTATTCCCGGAAGTGTCGCATTATGGCTGATGTCGACTTTGTTCGGTCAACAAACGATGGCAGCTGCACCTCTCGTTTCAAGTGGTCGATCTGAGCCTTCCGTCGTCCTTCGGGCGAGAAAGAATAAATGAAATCAGTTGCTTCCTGAGCCATGAACTTCCTCATCTCATACGTTGACTTGCATTCCCCCGGAAATATTGTCCGGTCTCGACTCATGATGATAGTCTTGGCCTTCCGCTTTATTCTTTTGTACGAATATTCTTTGACGCGCAGCTGTTCGCTCCTGACGCTGGCAAGGTCAGTCACCCGAGATGATGCAGATAACAAACGATCTCTGTGGTCGGTGAGCTGAGTTGAGTTGCTCGATCTCAATCCTACAGAACTGGACAGGTCAAGCGGATGAAATACGGACTCGCGACGAGTTTGGCTTGGAATGGCACCACTTTCTTCAGGAATAGGTGTAAGGTCGTTAAAGGGTCGCTCAAGCAGACGCCCTTTTGCAATGATATTTGCAAGTCGGACGCTCTTTGTTGCCTTCTTTATGTCTTTGAACTTGTCCACAACAACTGTCCTGCGTTCTTTAATTTCTTTTAGATAAGGATCGTACTTCTCAAATCGATGCTTCCTATAAACTTGACCAGAGGCAATGATTTTTATAAAGTCATCTTTTGTTTCCTTAATATCTTTGTTTGATAAATTTTCAGTTCTCTGTTTGTTTTTCCGGATGTGACGTAATTTCATTGACAAACGGTTTCCTTCCTGTTCATTTTTCACTCTTGTAGAAAGCATGCTTGATTTGCTCATTCTGAGTGCAGCGTTAAAGCGAGACTCCCACCCTGACCAGCCTTTGTTAGAGTCGGAGAGAATGCGCCGGGGCATCTGGAAACACAACAAATACTTTAAAGAATTTACATTTAAGGAATTTAAAAGGACCTTGACCTGTGAAATAGGGTAACATTTTGATATGCTTGTCAGTTGTATCCCGCAGTGGCAGTATCACTATAGTTAAATTATACAGGTTTGCAAGTCAATTACCTCTTATAGTGTGACTTGCCTTTACAATTATGCTTGAACAAATAACAATACAATTGTTAAGCTATAAACATTCCGATATACGTGGTTATTAATGTTATCTTAAATTATTTTACAACAATTGTGAAACAAATTATTTCAATTTATATTAATCACTCGTGTTGGCCCAGAGGTTAGCGCAGCGGGGGCTTAATATGGGAGAGGCTTACGTGGTTAAACTGAATATACGTGATATCCTATGATCATTCATCATTAAGTTGGAAAATATTGGATAACATTAAATCATAATTATGCTTATATGCAGTTGTATATATCTTTGGTCGAAAATGTGATATAACCAATGTAATTGGATGGTTTCCATACGTACACGTGACCAGTTCTTAATAAAAACTATCATGTAGACCGGTTTTCGGTAAATACCAATTTCTAAATATAGTATGTAAGCGAACCCCTAGATTTTACTGTTGATAATAAGCAATACGATAAGAGTAATATTTGAAAGATTTATCACACTCCATGTTTGGTTATATTTAACATCAAAGTATATTGAGTTAGCCACAATGGTTCTGATTTGCCAAGCTGTGCGATAGGAAACTTGCAATAATATACGACGGAAAAAATGCAATCAATCATTCTAATTAAGAGTTTTCATGTATTTTTACATTTATTTGAAGCATATAATAACACTGTTATAACGTTTTGTTAAACACTGAGATCAGCCTGAAGTATAAGTATAGTTCCAGCCCTCCCTCACACCTCTTTGAGTTCTAAATCGGCATTTGTAACGGTGCATTATGTTGTCATGGATGGTTTGTTGTGTTTAGTAAAGAGTCAAAGACAGAAACATTAGCTTTGTCACGCGAAGCTCTTTCGTATATTTTTCGATTTTTATATTTTTATATTTTGTTTATTGTATAACCTAAATATATCAAGGAGGTTAACTTTTGATGTTTTCCCTACCTGACAATGTACGTGAAATATCAAACCCAGTAACTTGTCGCTCTTTCGATGAAAGATTAACTAAGATTACTAACTATTAATGAAAATAGCAGTGAGAGTTTTACCCCACTAAATGAAAATACAAGTTCGTACCAGAATCTTCAATGAGGTTCTAATGAGTGATATTTTATATAAACTAAACGTTCTTGAACACTAACAGTTTACGGTGTTTCTCAAATCGAAATATATTCATTTAACTCACCACTTACTTTGGCGGTCTTACAGACTTTTGTGATTAACAAACGATTTTAAGCTACTGCACCACAAATATCTTCATATTTTGTCTGTGTCTTTATATCTTTTTATCCTTTATTTGCTTCAATAAATATCGTTCATGCCAGCCAGTCTTTTTTGAAAAAGAAATGGCATGAAAACGGTCATTTTTTATAAACTATGAAAGCGCGAATCAAGTGTACAGTACTAGTACATAAACAACACTATTTATTGTTTCAGATCAATTGTGTCATTTGTTATCTTTGTTTTACTGTTGTCTTTATCAAAATAATTTATCAAAACAGATAACTTTAGATTATCACTTACTTTGAATATCCTTGCTTCAACGATATCCGGATTGGCCACTCGAGATTAATTAAAACTCAAATTATTATTAAAACAAGATATTCACCTGTTGTTGCCATATTTGTAGCGTTCAAGTCCTCCAGTTTGTTTGATGTTCAATATTGGGTACAGTTGCTGGTAGTGATGTGTTTATGTAGCACCAGGGTAGAACAGCACCACAGCGTGGCAAAGGAACCGTCTGGTACGATGTGGATGTAAACAGTATATAAATAACACTATTGTCATTTTATCGACTTTCCCCTTTAAATTTGCCTAACGTAAAGTTCAATATCCTGTTAGCATACACTTATCTTAACGTACACAGTTAAGAGAGAAAAGGAAAATTATAAATTATGGATCATTTTGAGGGCTAGATATTATGTACAAAGGCCTTAAAGTTATATTCTGGCCCACAGTTGCATTATGACAATGCATTTCTCCCATTGATCGAGAAAGGAAAGTTTGCAATAGACGCCTTATGCATTCAATGTATTTATTTTGGTAGGACCTTTTCCTTTGAATATATGTTTTAATACAAAATTATACAATGAAGCAGACGGCAGTATTACAAGAGAAAATAGGAGGGTGAATAATGACTCTTCGACAGATACCATAGTTCTTGTAACACTATTGAATATTTATAAAAACATTTCGATGCAATTGTAATTTTTATTAAACCCTCGTTTACATTAAAGTGCATTTAATATATGTAACAATTGCACATAATATCGACATTGCTACGAATGAGGGTTTTATAGCAAAAGGGTGCGTACTGTTCATTATGTAAAAATTGATTCTTCTTTTACCTTTAGTTATGAGTCACGAGAACTCGCTGTTGGTATATTAAACCATATTAAAAATGATCGATAAATTGGCAGAGTTCCCATACTATATTTCCAAAGCAGTTTAGTTTAAAGTGATGTATAACAGAAAATAATTAAATGGTCAGATGGTGTCTTTCTGTTTTTGTTTACTCTCCAGTTCCTTTTTTCGTATCGATTTCGTCCGCGTGTGTTGACTCTGGTGTATATATTTTACCATTTAACTTAGCAGTCAATGTACTGCGTTTTGTGCAGCATTGGAACAAGCTTCGGCTATTTTAACAAAACATGTTATCATAGAATAGTTTTATAATTTATTAAACAATGACTGTGTATTTTTCGAATCAGTCGTTTTATTTAACATGAATTGACCGCTTCCTACTCCAATTGACGCGATGTTTACGTTCGAGATACAAAGATACCTCGAATTACAAAGTTACCTCGAAGCCGTACTTGTTGTGATATGTCCTCAAAATGATATTGCAATATATGCTACATCGGTTGATATTACCAATATCTAAGGTGGATCAACGTTACATCATATACAAGATGATGAGATCGAATATTTGCTGATGGCATAGAATAAGACCAGATGTTCCAGAAGGGTAGTCGTCTTTGTCTTCATCGACGATATAAGCCATGTTAATCTAGGCTTAAACCCTGGAATGTCACGTCGTCAAAATGATAATTGGGATAGTGACATCGAAACAACAAAGTTCTCTCTAATTAGCATCATCTAAAATATTGGAGTTCCTAAAGTACAATTAAAAACATGTTTCCAAATTGGAATATGACGACGACCATAATTATTGCCCATTCTAACTTTCATTTCGCGAAAAAATCATAAATCGACTTTTATCAAAGAAATTGTGATATTCTGAGCAAGCCATATTTATTTGTAAAGTCGCACCATAGAGACGACTCGTCCTTCGGTTTTTATAAAGTGCCAAATTAAAAGAAATGTATGTATACGTTTAATGTTCTATAGGTAAGATACATCAGTGAACGTAACTCCTTTCGAGGTCGGGGACAGGAACCGTCCAATTATGCTATTCCTGTGAAATCAAATGGGACACGTTGGCTGGAATCCATCCTTACAACGCTACTCCAGGGAGAGAAAATAGCATTAGGGACATGAGAGTATTGATAGATTTGACAAGCACGTGGTACCTTCAGAAGAACCTCCACTGATCGCTCTAAAAGCATGCATTTCCTGCCGGCAGGTCAATTGGTACTGGAGTACAGTACATATGCATTTACCAAATTTGCTGCGACATTTTGTACATTAAACAAGTACCCTTCGACCTGTAATCAATGTATCCTTTAGAGTAAAGCTTCAAACGGTTTATAGCAAGAAATGCTACGTACGTACCATCAGCATTTTCATAGAATAGTGTTTTTGTTATCTAAATTTTACAACAGCCTGTTCCTTAATAAATTGGGAAAATATAGCAATATTTTCTATTGAAATTGGGACTTTCCTGAGGTTTTGGTCATTTTGGAAAAAATAAGGCACTTTTTAGCTAGGGGGAAAAGCCTGTATTCGGCAATAAAACCAAGCAAGAAATCAATGTAGAAAGGTACATGTACTTTATATCGGAAAATGACACGAATAATTTGACAAAATGTACCGATATGATGTAATTGTCTTCATATAGGGTCCAATCGTTTTGTCATTCACAAACGCCCTAATGCGTTTTCAATTTAGACTTCAGATGCCGATGAAAACCCCCATAACCCCTGTAGTTTTAAACATTTCCTTTACAAAACCCTGATTGCATGATATGTAACATCATATATTAAAATGTATCAATATGCGGTAACTGCTAACATCACAGATAATTAAAGTTTGTATAAAATAATATTTAGTAATAAAATGTAGACGATATTGTCAATTTTGAATTTTATTTCACGGAATATTTATATCATTCTATGATGTCAGAATAGAAATGAATCAAAATAGAAATAAAGGTTCAACAGTGTTAAATGTCAAATTAAGAATCATGAAAACCTCGGCGAGAGCAGACCCTTTACACTAGCTGAAACCTACCTATGTATATTAGAGCGAATTAACCCGGGTTACAAATTAATTTTACGTGCTAAGAAGTTTATATCCCTATGCTAACATTCACTGCAATACAGTCTTATTGATTTTAAAACACATGGAGTTTTACACAAACAAAAAGTTCAAATTGACCAATAAGTAACGGCACAGTATTGTCGTGTATTCCTTTGATTACAAGCCAATCAGCGAGGTTCGTTTTGTGGCCGACGTGTTAAGCTTACTTATAACCCACCAGCTGCTCATATTGTCAACAAGATTGTATATGGACTTTCGAGGTGGAAAACCTTTCATGAGTTGTTATGAAGTATAGTTGATAATGAAAAGCATGTTGTCCCCCTTTAAGCATTGAAAGCTTCTAATGAATACACCAGGTACAAATTAAAAACAATTATTTATATCCGAGGTATATCAAAGTTTCTGCTCTCACTGGGAAGGGGGGGGGGGGCAAAAAGCAATCAGGCTCAACGTTGTACTGATCTATCGTCATTTGTTGTTATAATATATCTTTTGTTTTCCTGGTATAACACCCGTTACGCATTTCTAGATTATAACTCTGTAAGTTTCTATTGTCATGGGGATCATATCACTTTCGTGAGAGAGAAAAAATGACAAAACATCAAAATAATGATTCAAATTTTTAATAATACGAGAGGGAAAAATAAAACACCACAGTAATGTAATATGATTCGAATATTTCTGAAAAAATACATCTCTAGACATTCAATGATTGTCAAACATTATATGTTTGAGAATATATAATAATATATAATTATCATAGCATGTATAAACACTGAGAGATTAATGTTGAATTTCCCTTATAGATAAATGATCAACCTTCCAGTAAACAAGTTGTGACAATGTCATAGCTAGAACGCTATACCTCAATTTTTGCGATACAGTGCCAGCTCCCCAGCTTTATACAGGGTAGCTAGGGTTACAACGCCTCAATTAATTCCTAAAACGCTCCCTGACTAGTAAATCTTGTTGTTGGAATGCTAGCTTGCCAATGCTAGAATTTGAATATTTGAGCTTGGTAACTAACTTGCCTAACGTCGATATAGAATGCTAACTCGATAGACATATCTTCTATTCAATCACGAGCCAAGAACGATAACTCGTAAATCCTTGCCTGATATTCTTCCTAACTCGACAAACGCGGTGCAAAGGAGTCAATCTTGTCAATTGCTTGGTTAGAACGGTTACTCTCTATTCTTAGGATTACAACTTTTACTTGACAATGACATATGCTGATTTGTCAACCACAAGGCTAAAATGTTATTTAATAATATCACCATTGTTATCTTACAATACAATTTTTGTTTTCTCGTCATTAATGATTATGTGCTTTAATGGCATCATTTTCTTTTGTAAAATAGTGTGGTAACCTCAAGTGCTATTTTTGATGAAATGGTAAATGGCGCATGCGCATTTTCACTAGGACACTGCACTACAATGCCACTCACAATACTTTGCACAAGACCGTACACACGCATATAGACATATTTAGAGCTCATTCGAGGCAACATTTTAATGGAACAGCTGTTCAGGGAAAGAAGTGTATACTTCTTCTTTGATCCACTTGGCTGATCAATTTTTACAGGAAAACTCAGCAAATAATAACTGATATAAAGAGGTTTTCAAGTAATATTTCTAAATCGATATTCACACTAAAAGTCATAACTGCATAAAGCTATATTTGAAAAATAAAAAGTCGTTTATAAATCTTGAGACATTTTTCAAAAATCTCATTTCACAATCGGAGATCTCAAACTCGTTAAGCGAGGAACGCTTTGAACATCCGGGTATCGATGTTCTTTTTAGCGAAATCGTCGACTCAATTAAACATCGAACAACTGACTCGTCGTGAAATAGATGACACTAATCATACACCGAAATGCTATCAGATGGTAATTTTTTTAAAGACAACGTTCTGGGTTGTCATTGTCTATACTATCGACCGTTTATGCAAACCACACTTTTTTCTAATAAATCGTATCCATATTAGAACGGTCGTGCTTTGCCTGTCAATATCATCGCTGGAGAGTGATAATAATATCGATCATTCGTTCCCACGTTCCACAAATAAATCGTATATCTATACCGCTAAGATCGACGTCTAAAAGCCAATCATATTCTTATCAACCGACCTAAGACACGCAGTGGGTATTTAGATCCAACCTACTGCCAGTCTTATGACGTAGAGATGTTGACGTTTGGGTAAGATTCCATTGTCGCTGGATTTTATCTTAATTCGAGAAGGAAGTGTATATCAGTTATTTTCCCGTAGAAAAACCACCGACCTACAGCCAGAACCTGGTGACTGTCGCACGTAGGTCTCGAACCCGCGACCCCGTGGTGGAGGGCTAGTGGTAGCAGGTGACTAGAGACTACAATCTGGTTTTGTATTCGCGGAAGTTAAGGTATTGACATTAAGGAGTTAGTCGCTGTATTAAGCATCATTGAAGGCAGTAATGACAATATATCTTCACAACTCCATCAAAAATACTATAACACTGTCACACGCAATGAAAAGGAATACATAACATTTGTTTTGAACATTAAATGATTATATTGTTGACAGGCATGATGCTGGTAAAAGGAATGGTACATCAATTATCTGAGTAATACCCCTTTGGAATGAATGGAGCAATTGTGGTGTATTGAGTTTTGTTAACGCCACTTTCTCTAAGAGTTTTATCAACTTATACAGTTGTACAAAAGATATTTATGATGTACTTTATATGGATAATGTATTCCTTAAAAAACCGTTGAAAATGTAATTTAATTCCGTAAACTTACAATAATTTTGATCAGTTTCGGTACAATACTGTATGGTTTACACTCAACGGAAGATGATAAGGATTTCCCGAAATTTTCAATGATTTAGTAATATTGCAAATAAGTAACATTTTGTGAAAACAATCTTGATTTTAGCACCGCTTTAACTCTAGTATATATATTACTATAGAATAACCTCGTTTTGAGTTTTTGTATAGACTTTGAATCATGAAAACAGTTTTTCTGGAACGTTTTTTTTTATATATAACAATATGAACAGTTCATAGATGTATGAAGTTAATAGTTAATATCGATACAGTTTGCTCATTTTTTGTAATAGTTAAGTTTGAATAGAGACGATTCCTTTGAAATTGAGACACAATGAATCAGCTATATATATTTATTTAGATGGCTACAGTATGTATGACGTCAGCGCGCGTGAATATGACGTCACTGTGTCGCGTGCTCCTCTGCTTCTCTTTTCTCGTCAAGGGTCATATATTTCGGACTGTCGGCCATAATACTCTGCATTTCCGAACCGTCCCGACTCGCCGCCATGTCGAAATAAGTCTTACTGAATATCCATGATCGGAGTTTGTAAATTTCATAGAGAATAAACTGGCTAAGAATCGCCTGGACTATGCATAGCACACACGTAACAATTGCCTCGGCAGGATTCTCCCAGTTCAATACATTGTACGCGTAATGGCGCCCCTGTAGGATGGTCCCGTCATTCAGGAAGTATATGGCGTTGAACAGGGAGTAAATGGAACCGAGCATGATGGCGAACAACATGTGGAGAAGGCGCACTGGAGCGGCACTGATTAGGAGGTCAAGCACAACATAGGTGGTATTTAATGTGTGCTTGAGGCGACTCATGTCGGACGTCAGGATCTCTGTAGAGAGAAATAAACTTGTTATGTTGTCCGATATACAACAGTATTATTATTTACTGTCTGGTAGTTGTGTGTCTATATATATGACACAATTTCGGTTATTTCTGGATAGATTAATAATGATACAGTAATAATTATCTTAATGTTGTTATCTATTAAAAGAAAACAACAAAGAAATACAGAAGTATCAAATTAAAAAAAACGAAACTCAAACTAAAAAAATACCATTCGGGCAAATGATGTACTAAGAAAAGTTTTACATGGAGTACAAGGAGAATACGACCAGGCCTTCAGGAAGGTAAAGTTATCTTCAAACAACAAGGCGATATAACCCGTAACATCATATATTTCTATATTTGCTTATATGTGAGAAAATATTAGTATAGCCTACAACGATACAATTAAATAAAATTGTAATACATATCGAAACTGTAAACAAGAGTACTAGTATGTTGCCTCCTTTGTTTTTATAGGAATGCGAAATAAAAATAATTTTGACGGCAATAACTTCGGTATGTACGTACTGGACGTGTCAAGAAAGGTGAGAAATCCCCAGTAAGAAATGGTCACCACCACAGCCGAGTTGTAACTGAGGTTCTGTAGTCCCCATTGGAGCTTCAGCGAGCGTGGCATCCTCTCAAACGTCTGGCGATCTGAAGTAGACGAAAACAATGGGCCTTGTGTAATTATTGAGGCATAATGAAATACAATAAACATCCACCTAACCAAATACACATATAAACAGTGTCTAGGACAAAACAGAACAATGTTCTTTTGTGTGAGAAGATGGTCTGAAATATAACATCAAGTCTTGTTTTCTCAAAACTATCTGATGTATAAACATACGCATACATTATCCATTTATTATTTATTAACTTCACATTTCCTGTAAATAAATATCAATGTTTCAAATTTCCTGTACATAAATATCAATGTTTCACATTTCCTGTAAATAAATATCAATGTTTCAAATTTCCTGTAAATAAATATCAATGTTTCAAATTTCCTGTAAATTAAATATCAATGTTTCAAATTTCGACGGTTTTGCATTCCAAACGTTTCTTGATCTTTAAAAAGTAACATCTTACCTTGAGAAGAAATGTGTATCTAAGCAATTTTTCGTTTGCAATTCTATTTCTTTCGCATTTAACGCGCAATGTTGACATGAATAGAAATTATTTCTGTGACATGTATTATAAATAAAAAAAAATGCTTTCTCGTTACTAATGCACAATGTCTACAAATAACTTGGAGACGACAAATTCAGTGTGCGATTGAGTTTCTTTCTAGTAATCCGGAACAGAACCCGATTAGAGTAATTGAATATTTACTCTGCTTCACTCATTTTTATTATTTGTAAAAGTATCGGAACATTCAGATTTCTTGTCGTTGCCTCTTTATTCGGTCTAACGTGAAGCCACAGTGACTACCGGATCAAAACTGTAAGCTATCGAAGTTACTAGTTTCCCAATGCGTCGTTAGAATACTTAATGCGGGGTGAACTAATTTTAATTTGGTCCCTGATGGGGAAAATGTTACCTTTCTCATAATATTAGTGTCACTAGAATCATTCAATACATATATTTTATGTTGTGTAGATGAAAAATGCTCGGCCTTTAATTGTGAATGATGTCGTAGGAGATCTTGATGAATGCAGGGTACTCCTACTAATCCTATCCCAAGCGGCCATATTTTTACTTAAGACCTGTCTACTCTTTCCCCATTCCCGATATTCCAGAGGTTACGCGTATTTACGTTCTCTGCACCCCTGGAATATATGTCATGAAAAAATCTAAGACACGAGGTCAGCTATTTGATTAATTTCAGGAATAAAAACCTGACTAATGGCCGAGGATATGTGTCATTTGAAGATTACAGAGGAACGGTTTCCGACTTCAAAGCAGACCAATTTCACCCTTGTGCTGCACGCGATTCTTTTGATGTACATGGAAATATAAGACTATTCTACTTGTGGCATATATAAGGCAGCGCGTACAAAGCCTTTGATTTCGTCATGACATATTCCAGGGGTGCAGAGAACGTACGAGAGCGTAGCCCCAGGGATTTCAATGATGCTTCATTTCATGTAGACACGAACAAACCTACCTTGTAAGTTGGGATGGGTAGCATGGTTGGACGCAGAGTCTGATAACGAAGAAATAAACCATTTCGAAAAATGATGTATTTTAATTTTTAGAATTTCCTTATTAAAGTGATGCCCTTTTAACCATATTTTGATGATGTAGTTTGTTGCTGTAATAGCACCTCGTAGGGACAGTATTACAGAATATGATATTTTCCTTATCTCTCACAAGAATGCTTTTTCTCTGTAAGTCTCGAGTACGAGATTTCACACGAGATTTCGCATGAACGAGGAGTATGTCACATTGATAAACCATGTAGAGGCTGACACATTAGCTCAATCAGTACGTCAGTTTTACTCCTTTTTGGATACTTGAAAAATCTAACCCAATGCCTCATTGCAATCTAGCAAATCAGATATATCGGGTTTGTTACTTTAGTGTCAAGTTTAATTACTGTAATGCTATTATTAAACTCAAAACGAGATAGATCTCAACATACAAAACGAGAAACAGCTAATGTTTTCCAACGAATCGTCCTGCACTCAAATGTTGAGCGGCATATATATACACTCTAGGAGATGGTCGTCTCTTGTGAGACTGTATCGTTAATATAGCGGTGTCTTTCCATTCTACAATTGTCATTTAGGTGTAGAAGTACTTATCATTTTGAGGGAAAATGGTACCCATGGAATGGCTAATGGACTAATTTGTGGTCTGACATCACTGCGGGAATATCCATGGTATATAATCGGCAGGAAAGACCAAATAGGGATTCTAAAACATTCGTCAGACAGGTTAAGTTCATTAATGCCAAATCTGTTTAAATCGATTCTAAAGTAAGCGTCCTATGTACATCTAATTTCAAATTCTACACAGTAGAACGCCAGTGTTACTAATCCTTGAGCAAATATATATATATACAAGTGAATTAAAGTCTACGAGGAACACAAAGGGTCCCTGCATCGTTGGACAGAGTCTACCTGGTGTTTGTACGTAAGATAGTATTGTTTGGCTTAGAAAGGTTTTAAACATATGAATGATGACAAACAATATCATATAAAACAAATAGATAATGAATCAACATCTGGTATATCAAAAAAGGGGAAAATTAAGTGAAACTTATGGGAAAAAGTCTCGTAGAAACACATTGTTGATTACAGGAAATAAGACAATTCTCAAATCATCTAATAAACTTTCCAATTTAAGATGTAACATAATTTTTATAAGACATCTTATAACCAATCGTTTATATGATACCTTATTAGATACTTTTAACATTCGTAAGACAACATAATTTAATTTCCTAAGATATCTTTTACATGTTTTGCCACCTTAGGTTTCTGAATAAGTGTTAATTTATTTTACAATACTACCTCATATTGATCATACACAAACACTGGTAATATCAATAATGTTGTTTGAACTCGAAGATAATGATAGGAAAAAACGAAACACGACTATAACCTATCAATATTTCCCCTCACATGATCTGTTATATCTGTTTGAAATATTTTTGTATATGTATTACTGCTTTGAAGTTTACTTAAATTCGTAATTCCCTCGGCAGGAATGTCCTAATCAGCCACACAAATGTGTTGTTTTTCAGCAGTATAGGTCATCTGTCATGCTAAGTAATATGAGTACATACATTTGTATCAGTGACACATTCTCGGATAAATCATTGCTGTCCCTTTGATGTTAGTTTTATGTAGGACAGTTTCTATTGGTAAAGTTCGTGCCGAGTACATATCTATCATGCCAAATATACAAATAGCGAGTCAATCAATACTTTGAAAGTCAGATCAAAGTTGAGGTCATTATGTTTCATAACACATATAGTAAAAAATATAAGGTTACTTTCAAGGCAGTACGCATTTTGTGGGGTGATTTTTTTCAGAAAGGTTTATCTGTAAATTTAACACATCAAATATTTCTAACCAAGCAGATCTATGTATCAAACGTTAACGAGATGGACAACGCGTCAATCAAAGCCTTACTAAGCATTAAGATGTACCGTCAAAGCCTTATACATGTACCTTTGTTTTGTCACCTACTTTAAAGTGTTGATGCAGACATGGAATGTTCAGGGTCATGCTGTGTCATTAATATTACTATATCCGTACACGCCCTGACAGATATTCACTCGACCGTCGCCATTACTTTCCTTGTGTCTTTACAACAAATTACCTCACTCTCTATGAACACCTCTAACAAATGAACATTGCTGACACGAATTAAATACGTTTATCAAATATTCTGAATAGCCAGTGCACTTTACCAAACATATGAAAACATCACATTTTAATAAAACAAAAATGTCGTTTTGAAGGAAAATATTCATGTATTACAATGACCAAAGGTCGCCGGTTTTGTGCATGTGTTATTGTCATTTTTCACACCCTATGCACGCTATTAAAAAACCGTTGCAGAAGGCATTTGTTGGTGTATTTATTGAAATTATCAAATTTTGACAAAATGCAAACAATACTTATAAAATATTTTTGCATGATTAAAATGTATTCCAAATGAATTTTATTCTAACATTATCCATGACAACCAACATTCAAAGATCGAATTATTATTCTGGAAAAATATGAGTTTCAGTGTAAAGAACCTAGTCGTAGATTTACACAACCCAAGTTACGATGAATAATCGTATTTTTTTAACATAAAAGTATTTCTTATAATTTTCTTCTAAAAACATACTTTTTGAAAGTCATACAACCGGGGTTTACCAACACTTAATATTCATATTTAATTTCGTATGTACTTAAAAGTAAGGGGGAAATCCACTTGAAAGTACATGTGACATACAAGTACACCGAAAGAGTACTGAAATGTTATTCTTATACCTTGGAATGTACAATAGGACATGCCAAACATTATGACGCGAAATGGGGCAACAAACACTCGCAAAATCACGTAAAATAAACAAACACAGGTTATATTAAAACAGCAAACCGTATTCATTCAAATTTTATGAGTTACCTATCTTCATGAAATTACGAACACTTAATGAAAATTTTCTCAAAAAACATAAAGAATCATTTTTTAGCTGAATGTTTTTCAGACTTTAATAGACACATTTTCGTATTCGCGAATTCTTTTGAAGTGGGTTTTAGCAACAGTACGAAATAAACTAATCGCACATAATAATTGGCATTCGTTTCATATGAAAATCGAGAACATGGTGATAGTTCATAACTGCTTTTCCGAAATACAAATGTATTCGCTTTAATTGCTATCATTACCGAAACTCGGGAATTTCAAAACCACCACATTAACTCACACAGTTGAGACAGAAATCTTAACTTAACCTAGCTGTTACAGAAGGAAATGGTACAGAAAAAAATAATGATATTCAATTTACTTTCCGTTATATTTTGACTGATTTGCTTACGCCTCTCAAAACTCACCGTCAGGGGGCGCAGCTGTGATGTGTTATTGAATGAAATATATAACACCAGGCCATCTTTAATGTACTACATTGTCACATTGGTCTGATTTATCATTGACAGGAAATCAAACATCACGAGATTTCTATCCAATATTGTATTAACAATAGCATGTCTGACCGATTACCATGGAAACGACATCCGTTCCTGGAATTTGTTCCCTCTTCATTTCCACGGAATTGCTGTTGGTAGCACTAACTGCACAGTGAAATTAACTTCAGTATTTGCTTAAAACACACAGAAAATCAATTTTTATACAGACTAATTTTAAAAAGTGTTGTGATGTACAGAACTGTATCATATTGTGTTCATTGCCAGTGCAAAAGTGTTGTTTGCTGTCTGTCAGTGACAGACGTTCTTGAAAAATAATGGAAAACAAGCTTCAACTTTGTCTTGACATGTGCAGTGTCCTCAAATGAGACGGGATTCATTTCCACGCTCTCATTGCATTATAGTTTCAAGGAGCCAAGTAAACTATGTCTTCTTAGCCAATCCTCTTTCTGGCATCCTTTCCATCAAGTCGTTTGACTGGCTTACCTGTCTCGTTCCTATTTCCGCTAGGCTTCTTTTCGAAGCATGTATGTCAAAAGAGCTGCCCAGCGGAGAAATAAAATTGCAACAGGAAAGCTAATCAATTGGGGTTTGTACTTGTTAAGTTGAAGATTGCAAGTCGTTTGCAGATCGATACTCTTATTAGAGAAAGATTATAAAAATAGGAATTCAATGTTCGTTTTGCTGAATGCATTGGCATTAGTATGAACCGAATTACAATATAGCCTTTAAAATTTCATACAAATTTTGAAACGATGATTTTCTTTTATTTCGAAATATATAAAGTGATATCTTTAAAGGGGCTGGTCGTGGAAAAAAATACAAAATAAATGGGTCTTAATGCGTTCTCTGGCCTTCCAAAAGTTATACCACGGCAATATGATGGTCGAGTTCTGCTTGCAAAGTCCAGTTTTGACCACTGAAATCTCGGGGAAGCCCCGCGTAAATTTAGCGCAGATCTGTATATATATGTCACGTGGTTGTTTCGAAAGTGAGGCAGTGAAGATAACAACAATAGCTTGCCATCATGTGCCATGTCGGACTCAACTAGCGGACAAAACAGCAATAATATACGTAAATAATTGTTTTCAAAGGTTATGTATGCTGCAAGTGTAGTATTCCTACCTATATGTTGTTGTTATATATATAACGGTATTGATACTTCGTGCCTGTAATGACTTTTGCACGCATCTTTTTCTATCGCCGCGATGTTTACATTTGGCCTTGTTGATGACGCGCGTGCGGTAAAATTACATCACTGATCTGGGTCAATTGAGAATTTTAGACTGTCAGGTGACGATTTAGGATTTCTTTAATATAATTATAATTTTTACTCTTAGGGGGGCAATTTCAGCAAACTTTGAATCGGTATATTTCATAAGAAGTTATTTTAAACATGTGTGTGTCGTTTTAGCAAATATGACATTTTTTCCCCGACCAGCCCCTTTAACAAGATTGTGTCGAAAACCACCTACAAATATAATGCCTTGTTGAACATTATACTTAACCTAAAGAAAATAACGCTGTGATTTGGAAGGAAACAAAAATGAAGTATAAATGAGATGAAAAATCTCAAAAATGAAATTATTTGACGGTAATATATACACTTCACCACTTTTAAAATCTCCAGTAAACCTCCATGTGACACAGAAATTTACCCGAATTTTAATCTGCTCAACGCCCACACCACGCCCAATCTACGCCCACTACCACACCGCCTCCCACGCCCACCCCTACTCACACGATTAGAATATTCTTCAGGTTTCGTGCCTTCAACCAAGCGAGATAAACAAAATGTACTTAAGGTTGTTTTAAAGAAGGAGGACAAATTCATCAATGCAGTTCACAGCGTAAAAGCTTTCCCGGGGCACAACTACCCATCAGCACAGTCAACAACGCTATTGTAACTCTTAAATTGACAGTAACACAACAAAATAAACACAATCGATTTGTGGATAAATGTCAGTGACAATGGATTAACGATTAATAATAAACCCTCTCGAAATATCACGCAAACGGTTTGCTTTAAATACGATTATTAATATCTGAACGGTGTATTTCGAACAAAGATTACTCGCAGTGTATTTTAACGGATACTGTTTTCATCAAACTCCAGTGTCTTTATTGGTTTCTTGTTAATATTTAATGTCATTAGCGCGAAGATTGAAGGAGAAAGGATCTTTATTATTTGGACAAATGTGGCATACGAAAATAAAGTTATCATTTGTTAAGAAATATGACCGTCGGGTATCCCAATCATGCATGACAATTCCATTCCAGAAACAAACCCTATGTGTACTGATTACAAATAGGGGTACAGAGCATAACCTCATGGTGAAATAAATAATAAGTACATAACTATTTCAAGTTTGAAGAGAAAAAAAAGTAAGGGAAATATCTTGTTCAAAGGTTCTGTGTTTTTTTTATATTAATACATGTAGCAGCATTTGCCACAAACTAATCATGTGACATGTGAGACACATTGAACGCAGACAGTTATTTACTTGGCCCAAAAGGTTTTCTTCCTGGTTGTCTGTGAAACTTCCCTCGGAACAATTGCATTAATTTAAGAAGTATATATTTTAGGTTTTACTTATGCGATTAGCCCTCAAATTGTTTCAACTTATCAAATAAAAACAGCTTTATATCCTTGTTTACATAAATAATGTAAAGGTTTTTTATAATGTTCCTTTCACTGACACGTATGCTACCACAGCTGGATGACTTGTTTGGCAATATATACCCGTTCGTCGAATGTTTGACATATAGTCCAGTCAACGAAAGGTCATACATACCCAGTGTCCAGTCAGTTCGACACGAGTAGAAGGTCACGCAGACCGCCTGGATAATAGCGGTCAATCCCAGAAGGATGAAGCTCCAGTTGGTGGCGTAGATGAGGTAGAGCCACCTCCGATCACTATAAAACACTTCTGTCTCGTACATGACATCAGCGATTATCCAGCCCACCATTCCCGCGGCAATCATCAGCCGGTACGCCACGTAAATCTTCTGGTTGATCGGCCACTGGAAATAAAAACAAAACGTCTATATAAAAAATATGACAATTTACAACGGATGCATACAACAATATTATCAGTGATAGCTCGATAAACGATTGTCGAGCGTTTTATCTTTACACGTCTGGTCAAAATATTGATAAAAGTACATAAAGGTGATAATCGTAGCGTCATAGTCAGAAATGACTAATGTGGGGTCTTTGAGAATCGGGCACTCTGCTTGGGACCACTGATATTTTTAAACACTATGTTATTGATATTTCAGTCAGGTCACACTAGAATGTAACGTCCAAGTTGTCTTCATCACAAGTGGACATTTTCCATGATGTATACAAACATGATGTGCTAGTTCAATTACAACACAATAACGTAACCCATACATTGACTGATTTACAACTTGTCATCGTCCCGTTTGTGACATTTCAGTTATACACCACTATAAAAATAGTCCATTTCTTAACCCCATCGCAGGTAGGTGCTGCTTCTGATTTGATATTTATTTAGAAAGTCGTGGGCTGACTCCATCACAAGCAAACATATCCGATGTGATAAATGAGTTAGATGACATTATAGAGTATCGCATATACGTATGTCGTCTGTATCACAAGAGGACTGTTCGTGATGTGATAATTTGTGAAAAGACACTATAAAATTAGTTCCTTAACTGTCTCAATCACAAGCAGACACAGTTCTGATGAAGTGACCCAATTCTTTTTCAGTTCGCCGTGAATCAACTAAATACATCTTAAGTGCAATCGTCCTGAACACATCGATTCAGTACTGCGGGGTAAACAAAATCCTAATGAAACCCAAATAGTAACAATGAATGATTACTATTATGATAGTTTTGTTTTCAGCTAAAATAGATGACAAAAGATAGACATTTGTGCGCCCTTTTGTGACCGATAGATACTTGAACCAAATACGATCAGCATCAGATTAAATGTTAAACAACCAAGCTAAAATGTCAACACAGTAAGTCCAGTTACCGAGGAACAAGGACAATTTTGAATATTCATAAGCAGACACTATACCTTAATGTCATGAATATTCATTCGCGCCTACACGCACAACACATTTGCATCCGAGAACACTCATTTTTCCATTTAGAATAAGTAAATCATTCCTATGCGCTGTTTTTGCATAATGCCTTTCTGATAAATCTAAATTACTCTTTAAATACAATGAAATCAAATAGAAAATGACGATGTGATGCAAGATGACCTAGATCCATACGTATTTAAATAAATTCACTAAGTGGGACATCTAGTAAAACTTTCCATCAAAACCTTTCTTAACGTATCAAAGATAAATATTTTCACGTTTTTTGGTTTGGTTAAATTCGGATTTCAATCCTCATTAAAAACTTATTATGATTGTCATCATGACTGGATTTACAACCATGATATCTCATTGTTTATAACTATCCTTGACTTATTTTCTGTTTAATACATTGTTGATGACCTGCTGGTTTCCAAGATATAACAAGAAACGTCATGATTGGTAGCACGTGTGCATCAGGAAAAGCCTACTCCACCAGAGCTGCTGACGTGTTGTCGGATTAGTTATCTGTTACATGTTCGTTTCCCTGGTATTATCTTTTCGTGTTGACCTTGAATTCGAATATGTATGGTACGATTAAGAACCAATATAATTTCATAAACGCTTCAATAATGATAATGATGAAATATTCTTTTATTTTGCGCTAGGCATCATGATTGGTACCACATGTGGCGCAGGAAGTGCTAATCCTTCCGCAGTGCTTGGTTTTTTCTCTATGTTTATGAGGACAAGAGCTCATGACGTTTTCGTTATGTTTTGGCATCTCCTTCGTTCATGTTGCTGTATTTTGTTATTGGGTTTAATTTAGGATGTTGTCATCATGCTCTGGTGATGTTATCCTATTCTTCTATACTGTTTTAAACTTTAAAATAGCTTGATCCAATGACACAAGTTTGACTTTTTTTGTTTCAGATATACCCATTTTTTTCGCACCAGAGACATTTGTGAATATGAACTATCTACAGTATTTAAATTTATGTTACATTGTATCCATCATTTATTTTAGTTTTTTAAATATATGTTTTAACATTGCCCTTAGCATTGTAGTATAACACAGCATACCAGATGTTACACAAACGTCCACCTTTGCCATAGGAGCGATCCTGTGACTGCGTGGGCAGTAATCACCAGTTCATAAATACCAATCGACAGAGTTGTTTAATAGCTAATTAGAAACGAAGGTCGATGTTTTCAGTAATTACTTCAACCACAACCTGCAACAACAAGTTTCAGAAATTGCGGAGCATTTACAGAGCAAGTACACGTATAATCATTTGTTTTTTTTGTTTGTTTTTTTTTTGTAAAAGAAATCGTATTATCTCTCTTTGAGAATTAAAAAAAAAACGACCAAAATATATTCAGATAGATGAGTAAGCATCAGCTTCACACATTCACGAGAATCAAAACACACAACTTCATCTATCCGCTCAACGACGAATGTGTACCTTATTTATTACAGAGCCGTACGTTAAATACACAACCGCGTAGCTTGGGGTTCCTACCGGTTGAGATGTAATCAACACTGAATAAAGTTTACAGAAGCCATCCTAAAATGATTATGTACCTTAAGACCTTACCATGATTATATGTATATGTACACATCTATTAGTACACTCTATATAACAGCATAATTAATTTACATACTCTTCTTGATTATAATAATACAAACTTTATTTATTTCACAACAATAACGAAACAAGTTTTTATAACTTATTAATCACTCTGGTCAACGAATGACCTTTCGTTGACTGGACTATATGTCAAACATTCGACGAACGGGTATATATTGCCAAACAAGTCATCCAGCTGTGGTAGCATACGTGTCAATGAAAGGAACATTATAAAAAACCTTTACATTATTTATGTAAACACTCTAATGTGTGTGTGTGGGGGGGGGGGNGGGGGGGGGGGTGGTACCGGAGTACACGGGGAAACCTACGTGTTCGCGCAGGTGACCCCATACCATTTTCACGACCGATCGGGGAATCGAACCCAGGCCGCCTTTAGTGAAAGGTAAGTTCGCTATCCACTGTGCGACCCGACCGGGCTCCTCGATTTGACGTTGGGGGACAACCGTACGAGTGCCACATGTAGTGATAGGAGACATTAGGTTGGGTACAACATTTGTGATGCTGCAAATGTTTCCCATCCGAGGAACTGTTGCTTCTGTTTGGTGATTTCTGTTGTCTTTGCCTTTGTTTTGAAGTCTGTCCGGATTATGTAGGTATCTTTCCCATTGACTTTAAGGTCTACCAACAATGTTAACCTGGCCTAATTACGCTTCTTCCTCGTGTTGAGTACAGCAGTGGCCTTCCTTTTGCCATTTCTATATATTGACTAAAGTGTTAGCTTTGATGGAAACTGTTGGCTCGAAATCAAATACTGAGATCAACAATGTGTGTATCAAAGACAGAATGAGTTGATAGGCACAAGTACTGAATCAACGGTTAACATGTATACTCTGTATTTATCATCAATTACCCCTGCAGGTCGGGAACTCAGAAAATATCTCAAATTGCATGTTGTTAGAGGTGGATGCAAATGTGGATATTATAATTTGGGAAACCCCTGCAGAATTGGGGGTTTGCTTTTGTTCTTTGTACTAAGGACTCAAAAAGACCAGAGTAAATATGTTTAACCGATTGGAACATTAGGGATCTTATATTTTCTCCCTTCTTCCTTACATACCTTTTGTTTGCTAGCACCTTCCATAGAAAAAATCACTTTCGGCTTCTGGTGAGGAAGGCATTGGGTTTTGTCCCCATGCCGGGACATACCAAAGACCTAAAAATGGTAGTTGTTATGAGCTGAATGTTAACCATTTAGGGAAGTAGCAACAACTGGTTTACCGGTTGTCAGTATAAATCTGACCGGGTGGTATACTGTACTGGATGCCTTCGGCATGGTATTTCAGCGAGATGGCACTCTAAAGTCGGCGTCACATCAGCGCCATCGAATGGAGGCAAGTACACCAACATACCGCTTCCAGCGGATCTGTCAATGTACGCTAAACACATCTATTATTGCTTATGTGTTATGCGTTATGTGTTTATTCGTTCTATATTGATTATTTTCTACAGATTCCTATTATCCGTGTGCCTGGTCTAATGTTTTTTTTTATATTGCACGAGTAATAGTGAAAACTTATATTTGTTCTAGAGATAATAAACATTCATCAATATGAGCTTGCGTTTGGATGTTTTGCCTCCTATATTAAAAAGACCTTCGCAAGCTGATATAGTATTACTCCTATAACCGGAAGCGTCTGTGGCCTTGATACGTGTTCGGTAGTCTGGTGTTGAGTGTTGACCATTGTCGGGATTCGTAACTCACTATCGTTTCAGGCCAATCCTTATCCTGCTAGACAAAGTCAATCTTTAATCACGATCTTGCTGGTGTCTGAAACATCCCATAATTCATCATCAATTACCGCATTAAAGGAGCACGCAAAAATTTGAGGTAGTGTTTACCTCTCTCTCGAGACAAAGAATCGTGCTTTACCAAATCTGTAAGCAACGTCAAGAAACGTATTCACAGCGTAGGGTCACTTTAATGTAAAAAAAAATGCTTCATGCCTCGTTTTCAATATAACCTAGAAACTCACATTAACAACGAGGAAGATTTCAATCCCCTCCGCGTAAATCTTTCCTTCGTGGTTATTATGTCTCTAGTTTCATTAGTTTTAAACGGTTTTCGTCATACTGTCTGATATTATTATTTTGCTGCTTAATCTTAAAAAACACACTCTATGTTCCAATCCACTCCGACATGTAAACACCGTAGGTTGAGAAACGGGGATGTTATGATCAAGAAAGGTAAACTTCAAGGTCGGAACATCAAAGGCATCCCGCTTATTATACAGCTAAGAAGGAAACCTTTCTGTTGTTCACGTCGTACGTTAAACTTGAGAAATACAGATGAGTCTTGTGTCCATGATGTCAAGCT